GGGCTACGGCTTTCCATCCTAAGACTGAGACTATACGGTTGGAGGTCGGAGAGGGGAAGAGCATCAATGGGCTGAGTTGTGGGCAGTATGGCTTGTGATCACCCAGCATCTATAGCTGTCTGCACTGACAGCTGGGCTGTCTATTGGGGCTTGACACTGTGGCTATCAGCATGGTACCATGCCAACTGGATGGTTGGTCACAAGCCCCTTTGGGGGCAACAGTTGTGAAGACAGGCCTCTGGTCAGATTAATACAGTTATTGTGTACCATGTAACTGGCCATTTGCCTTTGGTATCCCCAGGGAATGATGAAGCAGATACACTGACCCAGGTGCACTGGCTAGAAGGAAAGCCTGTCTTTGATGTGGCCCAATGGTTACATCAGCGTTTGTTGCATGCAGGGCAAAAGACAACGTGGGCTGTAGCCTGTCGGTGGGGTTTTCCATTGACCTTTGAAGTCAGCCGAGCCTGGAAGGAGTACCTTGTGTGCTCTAAGAGGGACTTAAACTGAGTCCCACAGCAACATGGGACAATAGTAAAGGGGCTGATACCCCTTGTCAGGTGGCAGATAGACTATATTGTGCCTTTGCCTGTATCAGAAGGATATCGATATGCTGTGACTTGTGTGGACACTGCTACTCGCCTGTTGGTTGCTTTTCCTGCATCTCGTGCAGATCAACAAACCAACAAGAGGGGCCTAGAGTTCCTCTTTGCAACCTATAGCCAGCCACAGGTGATTGAGAGCAATCAAGGCACCCAGTTTACTGGACATGCGTTACAAGGATAGGTGCAGCAATTAAGAATAAAGTAGAAGTTTCATGTGCCATATAACCTAGCAGGCATGAGAGAGGTATTGTTGAAATCTGGCCTGAAGTTGGACACCAACAGTCTACAGGGCTGGTCAGTTTGCTTAAGGACAATACTACAGTGTTTGAATGAGAAGCCCCAAAAAGGAGTCTTGAGCCCTGTAGACATGCTAACACACATTGCTGCCTCTCCTATACAGTGTATGTGCAAACCAAAGAGGAGTTATTGAAACTAGGATATGGCCAACAGGGCAACATCCTGCTGCCAGCCCCTACTGCATTAAACCCTGGAGACATTCTTGAATGGACATGGCCCTGGACATTTTGACCTATGGATCAGGGATGGCTGGCCCTTCTGGCACTTTGGGGACAAGGCTTGGAAGCTGGCCTCCTGTGTGTTCCTGGAGTGACACCAGAATGGCTCTTAAAGATCACGGTAATGTACCCAAAACTTCCAGGAGGTAAGAGCATATTGCAGGGAAGTTTTGTTTTATCTTTATGGCCAGTGCATGTACCTCCCATAGCCCTATATATCGACCCATCTGTACCTGTCACAGGGTGGGGGATGAAAGTCTGGTATACTAGCCCCTTTCCTGCCTCTGTCCTATCACAGGAACATTGTCTTGTATGCATCCTACCTGATGGACAAGCTTTACCTATGCTGGTGTCATTAAAACATGTATCTTATTGCCCTTAAAGTTATTTTCTTCTGCCCTCCCTGTGGCCTGGACCAAACACTGGCTCCAGCTGCCATGTGATGATTGCTCTGAACTCACCACCCATTCAGGTACTGATCCCCTGTGGAATGGGCAAGTTATGGACTTAATCTGCATAGGACTTTGAATCTAGTTGAATCCTCCGGCTTGAGAATTATCATGATTTTATTGCTGTTATTGTATGTTATTAGTCTGGTTACAGTGCTCCAGTTTTCTTGCATAGGGTCCACTGCAGAAAATCGGGAGCAAGTAGATTGTAAGGCGAGATTTCTGGAGTGGTGGGCTGTGGGCATAATTGCAATATTTTCAGAATTTCTTGCCTGGCCTTGTGCATCTCTATATCTATAGGCATTTCTAAGGGTGGAGAGAAGTAGTCCATCTCCATATCAATAGGTGATTACAAGGGTCAGGAGGGCAAGGGTATAACTGGACCCTAGAAATTTGGTGCTGTCCCTTTTTTGAAGCCAGATGGTGAAAGACACGGGTGAGCAGAATTGGATGACTGCTTGTAAGCAGCAAATGGGTTTCTCCCATTTTATTTACCCACCTTTGAAAGATTTCAGTTTCAAAGGTAATTTGACCCAGGCTGGGAGAAAGATTTCCTGCCCCACTTCCCACCCCAGAGTTACACTATTTTACTCCCTTTACTCTGAAGTGAGTTTACTCCCAGCTCATCCTTGAAGAGAGTTTACTATGGCCACATCAAATGAAGTAAGGGCTACTTTTAAAGAAGCTAATTGTTGTAAGTTCTTAAAGGGAGACTGTCAAAAACTAGAGAAAAATATCCATCACCAGTGTTCCTGCGTCCCACCCTCAACCTCATGATTTGATCACCTCATGTTAGAATAATGAACTCAGCTGTTTCTTTGTCAGCCACTGACTTTTCCTAAGCAATGAACAATAAAGAAGATGCAGCATTAAGAAAGGCGGTCTTGCCATAAAGTTAAGGGGACGTGGGCAGCTGATCTTTAGCACCTCTGGACCCTTGGAACAAACCCAGTTTCTTTATAGGGTTCAGTCGCTTTGAACTACAATTCATTACAACAAAATGAACTGGCTATATTTTGGGCTAGGGTTTGAGGTATTACCTAAATCTTGATTGAAAATGACTTGTAAGTTTCTGTAAGAACAGCCTTTTCTTTCTTTTCTCTCTGTTCTTTTGTTCTTTCTTTTTTTGTTGTTGTTGTATTGAAAGTAGTATCTTATTCTGGAAGAGTGTCACAGATAAGAAATATAGGAAACCGCTTTGAGTTGAAAAGCATTTATGGAATTGTGAGGATGATCCCCTGACACGGAGCAATAAAAACAACAACAAAAAATCAGGCTTCTACTGGCAAGAAACAGCAGGTCACTGCCTGCAGGACATGGCCCCTCAAGTCAGAAATCTGACAGTTTCATGTGTTTGGATAATGTCCTCTAACACAGATACTGAACCAGATTAAGCCATAATGATATTATATTTGATATGTTCTATTTAACTGTAATCAAAGTTCAAATTTCAAAGTGCAATTAAATACATAAAGCATATATAGGCATTTATTAGCCAAAAGTGTTTTTAAAAAACAAAGTGGCACTGAGCCCAAACAAAAGCAAATTGGAAGATAAAGATAAAGGCAACCATCTGTATAGATAAGTCGGTCTTATTTGTATAGATAAGAGATTTAAAACTGGAGGCCCTGTGTTTGAGAAGAGCACAATGCTTTTCAAAGAGACATAAGTATCCATAGGCTTTGGGTGAATAACTTATGTTTCACCTTTACAAAACCAATGTTTATGGTCAGTGCTTTTAATGAGGTATGCAAAAGCCTTTAATTTTAAGTGGAAGATTATGGTGATATCTGTGGGTTTGTTGTTTAATTGAATCCCCTGTATTTCCTTTCTGCTACAACTTAACATAGGCTAACAGATGATATGAAATATCACCATCAGAGAAGAATGAACTGAAGGAGGAATCAGAACCCTATATGGTGGATGGACAACCACCACGCATCTTAGATTTTTGAAAAACTAAACAGATTTAAAATATACTGTTCCTTTGTCCTCATAAGCATATTAGTATTTTTCAAACCACATAATTTGATTTTTGATTTGGTTACAGTCACAATACTTGAATGTTCTAAGAATATAATATGAACAGAAGTTTTAATCAAAGTGCTTATTGCTGTAGAATTTGAATAAGTAGTACCATCCTCATAAAAGTAAATAGTGTATTTTTTATTTTATGCCATGTATGAAAGCACAACTTGAAGTCTAAAACTCATTATTCTTCATACATCATTTGATTTAAAAAACTGAACAGTAGTGGAAGCATCTGAAGTACTCCCAGAAGCAGGGAAAAATAAACCAAAGAAAGAAAAGGTAAATGTGAAATAAAACCCCATTAATCATGTGTGACTGGGGTTTCAGAGAAATGAATCATCAAATGATCAAAAAATTGGACATTTTGCTTAATAATAGCATTGAGAATGTTTATTAAAACTTTTAAGTTGACCATACGCAACTGAAAGCATTTTCCTCCGAAATAGAGAAATTTTACTAGAGACACATAGAACAAAATGAGGCTATTTAATCTAGATTCTTTGCCAGATGATTTTTAGGTAACCATAGTGATCAGACCTAAAGGATTTACAAAAAGAAAGCTTAATAGCAGCTGATAGCACTAGAATGATTCAATAGCCATTTATATGAATGAATAAGAAATGAGAAAGGATGTATGAAAGAACAAAAATCAAAGGAAAAATTAGGGAAGATGTAAGCACATGTGTACACACATACTCTCACCTCCCAGTGTGGCTGCACCCAACATTTCCCTGCACCCAACAACTCCCAGTAATGGAGGTTAGGGACTATATTAGGACTTGAAGGGAGATGAAGGCTCAGGCTACCCATGTTTCAGTACAACATAAAGCACAGTTTGTAAAGTCCCTCATTAATTTGATCAACACAGGCATTCAAAATCGATAATGTAAGTTCCAGAGTAAATGTTTTGATTAAACTGGGTCTTTAATTAAATTTAGAAGACAGCTGAAATTTCCCTCGTGCTTTATTAAAAGAACTTTAACCAGACATCTGGCTGCTTAATATCATGTAGATAAAAAGATACAAATTAGCTTGTTTTTCAATTTTTAAATCAAAATGTTTGCTATCTTTAGACACAAAGTGGATTAAGAATTAGTCATGATAACTCAATTTCTTTGATTTATGAAGGAAGTGTGACTCAAAATAATGACCTACCTAATACACAAGGTGTAAATACTTTTATGTCAGAAATATTATAAAGTCATCTCTTCACTTGGTCTGGCGTTACAACATATAAAATAGAATACATTGCATTGTCCTACACAGAAATATAATATTGTTATGATAAAATTTAAAGTCAAACAAAGTGCTATTCTTAAAGCTATCTTTTATGATTATTGGTTTTGTTTTTTAAATAATGAATTAAAAATACAGACACACTGAATGTGAAATGGACTCACCTTGCATCTGCTTCTAGTGCTCAGGAGCGTACAAGGTGTCTGTGTCACATCTGAGTGCTGTCATCCTCAACAAGCCCTGTAACCCACAGAAGGATATTGATGATAATCTAAGACATGTCAAGAGTAGAGGAGTGGTAGACACTAGACAAGTCATAAGTGCTTCCAAGAATCATTTATTTTTTAACACTCAGCAAGGCCACAGACTCCTGGTCAGCACGAGGATGCTGAGCCATCACTCTCATATTGCTCACACAGAGTAGATGCAGCGGGCTGTGGCTGCCAGGTTAAAGCCAGTGAAGAAAAGATGAATATCTTCAACATTTCAGTGGAAAACAGGGAGAGGTTTTGGGGCAAAGAATCTCAAGACCATTTATTGTTCTCTTTTAATTAGCTAACCTGACTTTCAGCTAAAAAAATTAAGAGTGTCACTTCTTTTATGTTTAACAATTACTCACTTCACTGAGTAATTACAAATTTCAAAACCTGGAGGGAAGTTCTTCTATTGCCCTTTAGAGATATTTCACTTATCTAAACTGTGGCTGCTTAATGATGTATTAGTCCAAACTCCTTTTTAATCCCCAGTATGCCTGGTGGAGTTGTGGCTTATTAGAAACCAATCTCCTCTGGTCAGAAGCTTCCGTGGTTCAGATATCAATAACCCTAATAGCTCTTTTTTCCCCCTACACTTCCTCAAGTAATGCCTAAAACACTAGCATCCTGAAGCCTTTCTTTATATTAGTAAGTTAAACTTGAGTCTCTTCTATCCCATAACGCTAGAACAAATCAAGGTGTAGTGTCTGCACCCTGTACTGAGTCTGCAGCTCGGCTCTCCATTTCAATTTTACTTAAGAAGCCCAGGTTTTTCAAGTGGTCATATTTTTCTTCCCAGAATCCAGTTTACACAGTTTAAAAAAACAAAACAAAACTGTCTTTTAAAATATTTATCATCCTAGTAGCTTTAAGAAAATGTTTTTGTTTAAGTATTATTTGCTGTGTTTAGTTTCTCACACTTTCTAAGGCAATGTGTTTTTTTTTTCTATATTCCACAGTAACTTCTCCCAAACATCAAGATAACATTAATTGTACTACTTAATTTGTTGTTTCTTTCTTTGGCAGCAAATAATTTTGAAATAAGGGAAGGAATTAAAAAGAAAAGACTTTAAAAACCAAGTGATGGTAGAAATGTTAAAAATGAGGTTCCCTCAAACAAAGAAGTATATTCATTATTGAATCAATGTCTGCTTTATGCATATGAGTAAATATACCTTCTGCAGCTAGTATGAATTCATATACTCATTATGCAGTTTCTGAATTTAGCATATCAAAACAGTGCCAGCAAAATGGGCTTATGCCATTTTTAAATATCTCTGAAATGTTGAAAGATTGTATAAAAGAAATCAACTACTAGTGGCCATCAAATGTGTCAACATAAGTACAAAGTAAAAATTTCCTGAAAAAATATTAGAATGAGCTGGATATACCGACAGAAGATGGTCTTTTTTTTTTTCCCACCAGGTACATGAATATTGTTGCCCAAATTCTTTTTAGAAAAAAGGAATAACTTATATTCCTCTCCCCACCTTGTATCTTTCTCAAGGCTTTAGAAACTTTAAGGTAACATCAACATTTTCTTCAGAGAAGTTAAACATTCTTCTAGTATAAACTTGCAGAAGGAAAAACTTATAGTACAAATATTACTTGAAGAAAAGGAGTTTACGTATCCAATATTGGTAGTTTTTGAACATATTTGTGTATTTCTAGTATACATTTTGTCAAATGAATGTAACTTTGAATGTCTCTTTTGTTTGGAGTAAGGAAAACAGTCTGGTCCATTGACTTGCAACATTGATTGAAATGGCAAGCATTTCACCAAGATGTCAAAACAGGAAGATTTCTGACATAATCAGCACTGATAGTAGCACAAGAATAGAGTGGCTAGCCTTTCTGATGAACTCTATTAAAGAACAATCTATATCGAGTTTGATTTTAAGAGTGATGATATAGGTCTGTTTACCTATTTGTTGCTTGCATATTGAATTTCCTAAGCTCACTGATCTGGAACAACGAATAGAAATATTTTTATAGTAGTCATAAACTTCAAATAAACATTCCTAAAAATAACACCTTAGAAAATCACATTTACAAAATTAATAGTAGAGTAATGATGCTTTTATAAAATATTCACAGGTGAGAATGCCATCCACAAAAACAACCCTCTGTGAAGCTAGAGGATCCCTTCACACTGAGCTATTTGTCATTGATCATTGAAATACACTCACACAGATATAAGATTAAGCAGTATGGTCAAGATAAAGGGTTATAGGCCTAGGAATGAGAGTCACTGTGGCAGCTGCAGGGTCTAACTAACTTTTCATAACTAGCTACATAAAATTGAGGAAAGCAGATAGCCTTTTTTCATCTCCAAAATTAGGGCTGCACTTGGTCATAATAATTTTGAATTTTAAGTAAGATAATATAAAAAGGGTTGAAAAGTTTAAAATTATAAAAGTTAACCTGTTGATTGCTAATAACCATACAAGTAATAAAAAAGTTAGACTGCTCTTTCCAAATTAGCCTAGCAGTTTTATGTCTTAGGATGTTTCTGACCTTCAATAGACCCTGGATAAACATTTGTTATTGTCCTGAAGAAACATGGGGAAGGTCATTTCACAAGCACCATGTCCCTGGGAAAACAGGTAATTTAGTTTCCTAAGTGACTTTTAACTTTTACACGAAGCACTTTGATTAGTTGCTGCTCTACTGACATTAACTGGATAGCAGGCAGATCTCATTTACTTTGCAGTATAGACACTGCCTGTGCACGCTTGGAAAAGGATGCTTCTCCGTCCCTCAGTAGCCGCAGGAATCGCTGGGATTTGCCTTATGAAGGCAGTGAATGGCAAGGGGTGAAGGGCGGCTCAAATTTCTCACACTGGTACTGCACTGACTGGGCTGCAAAGTGCTTCTACAAGTTCATTCCACTTTTTGTATAAAGGATCAGAGAGCAGAAACAGTGGAAGGTGGAAAAGTCAATGGAGAGTGGAGTGCTGGTGTGGAAAAATCAAGAGTGAGGCAAGAATATGGGCAGAGACTAGCTGGAGTGTTAGTAATAAAAAAGTTAGACTGCCATTTCCAAACTAACCTAGCAGTTTTATGTCTTAGGATGTTTCTGACCTTCAATAGGCCCTGGATAAACATTTGTTATTGTCCTGAAGAAACATTTCACAAGCACCATGTCCCTGGGAGAGAAAAGTGGTAGGCCTAATGCCACTGGGCTCTTCCCTCTCTTGAGCTTGGGAGAATCATTTAATATCTGCTTGCTTCCTATCTTCTAAAATACATTTTTGGGGAGGCAGCAAGCAGAAAAACAAAATGGAAAAGTAACACCAGTTGCTCAGTGAACTTGGGGCAGTTTCCAGACCTCCCTTTGTATCTTGGAGATTGTGGTGTTTCTTGCAAGCTCTCTGTAAGGCTTGCAGCTTGCTAGCTCTCCACTGCCAGGGAGACAGGTCACTTGTGACTGGGGAAGAAACCCCCATCAGCCCAGCTGGGTCACTGTGCATTCTGGCCCTTAACACTTGTTTCAGGATAAAACACTTTGCACCTTAGTCTTCAGTGTCATATCCAGAGGTTGGAAAGAAAGGAGCAGAGAGCAGTTCCAGTTTGGTTTTAAGTCAATTTAAGTCAAGTCTAAAAGGAAAATGAGAAAATAGGGGTAAGGCAGATGCACAGAACAAAAGGGACTAGGAGGACAGTCACACATGTGAATCAGAACCAATGTCCTGCCACTTCTGTAAGTCACATAACCTTTCTCTGCTTTATGTGTCTTATCTGGAAAATGACTGTAATATGTAAAGCTCTTATTTTAAGAAAGTTTAAAAGAAAGTAATGTATATAAAATACTGAGCATACTGCCTGGCATATTATAACAAATTCAATAATGGTAACTATTATTAAGGCCCAAGCTGAATTTGTTTGGGAAGTATAGACTTTATCATTTGATTATTTTGGTTATCTGGAGAAAAAAAAATTAATGCTTGCAACTGCAAAATTTGCAGTTTCGTAAGTATGAACATTTTTTCCCAGAATGTAAATACTATCTCAGTGTGATGACAGCGAGAAAAGCAACAAAGAACCACAGATGATTTCATTGAACAGTATGTGTTGAGTGGCCACTAAAAGTCAGGCACATATGAATGGAGCCCAAAGTAAGACATCCCAGATGTCCTAGTGCAGAAAGTGGTAGGGTCTGGATTACAGATATTTGGAAAGTTGCTGTGAGGAGAGGTTGGGGAGCAGGGAATGCTTTGTTAAAGTGTTAAGGAAATGTCAGCTACAGAGCCCTGGCAGCTTGGGAGAAGGTGTCCTGCCCCACTACTGCGGAAATTCATCTTTTCCCCAGGGTCTGATGCACAGCAGGCACACGGTGTCTAGCCTCATGCTCTACTCCTGCATGTCAGCCATGCCTTCTATTTTTGGGAGAGGCCATACAAGCAGCTGAGCAGAGAGCTGCCTCTGCTGGGGTGAGGGTCTACACCTAAGAAACTGGCTGTGGCTGCTGTGAGTGCAGTGCAAAGTGTGGCTGGGCCCCGGGTCAGGACTGAATGGGCAAGCTGCTAAAATGCAGATTGCCTTCCTCACAGAACAAAACCTGGGCATGCATGAAGCACGGGTGTTCACCAGTAACTCTGACATCCTATCCTTCTGTTTTGTTTGTTTTTTGCTCTTTTGAGGAAAGATTAAAGTACAAAATAATGGCAGTTGGGCTAAACCCCTGACCTTTTTTTACTGCAGTATACCTAATACATGATCTAACCATTTGGCCTTGTTTCAAGAAAGGGCAGATTTCCTATTGACCTTTGTAAGAAACATTTTTAACTAGCCCTTTCTTTTCTTTCAAATATTTTAGCTATTTGTATTCATCTTGCCTTCCACTGAGAAGGTACTGTTAAGCTGACAGTGTCAGTCTCCTGAAAATAATGGCTAGACAGCATTCACACACAGTGGGTTGGGTTCAAGGCCTGGCCCCACCGCTTACTAGCCATGAAACTTGAAAGTCTCTACCTCCCAGTTCCACTGTTTCCAAATCCCTATGACACTGAATACCTTCTTCTTGAGTTGAAGATGAAATGAGATTTTGCGTGTTAAGCCCCAAGCAGAGTATGGCTCAGAGGTGTTCAGTAAGTTCTGGAAACCTCCACACATCTTATCTAAATGCATTTCATACTGTGGTGGTCTATACACCTCTTTTCAAACATTCTCTAATTCTCTAACACTATTCTCTTTATTAATAATGCCCGTCTCTTCCTACTTCAACTATGGAAGGAAAGCCCACTTTTCAAGATCCAATCCAAATGACACCTCTCTTCTGTTCTCCCCCAGTTCCACCAATCCTACTAGACTCCTGTGTGTCAGAACACACTTCTCTCGCAACACATGTGCAGTGGAACCATAACTGTGTACTTGCCTGTCATTCGCACTAGACTGTGAAACATCATTTTTAAATCCTCAATACTTAGCTCGGGTGCCTGACACATAATAGGTGGTCAAACCGTGTATATACATAACTATATTTTTTGAACTCCTGGACATAATGGACTCACACGTGGATGGGCGGGCAGGGAGGGTACGCGAGAGTGCTTCTGGGGAGGTGACGGGCCCATGAACCTGTGTGGCTGTCCTAGTCCTTTCCCCACCCGCAGTGAACGACAACGGGCTTCGCTGCCATCGCCAGTGTCTCCCTCTCGGACGCGGCTCTGCAGGGCACCGGCAGGGGGCGGCGTTGCCACACAGCTGGAGGCTCCGCGGGCGACACCCCCGCTCCCCGGTGCGCACGTCTGTGTCTAGGCCGGGGCTCGCCCATTGCCGAGGGGGCGGGCTGCTTACCGTCTCCGGCTGGGCGGCTGGAAACTCGCAGGCTGCGGGAGGGAGCATGCAGCCTCCCCGGCCCGCTCGCCTTTGCCTCCGCCTCGGCCTCTCGCAGCTTCCACGAGAGAGTAAATTCTCCGCGTTAGTTTGGGAAGCGACAGCGAGCGCTGGATAGACGGCCAGACGGGGGGTCAGCTTTCTGGCAACGGCGGTAATGCGAGCGCGCGTGGGGATGCCCAGCGCACTCCTTCGCGCTGCCCTGGCGGCCAAAGCGTTGTAAACTCTTTTATCCTTTGAACTCCTTTTTGTTTCGCGGAACACTGGATAATTTCACACTGATGTTTGTATTTACTTGAAAAAGGCAAACCTCAGCCCAGCACGAGACGCGCGCTTGGCTTCCCTTGGCTCTCCGGGAGGACGCGCCCCGGCCCCCGCCAGCCCGGCCCCCCTGCCGCCCACCCAGCGGGGCGGCCGCGCTCCCGCCACCGGAGCTCCTGGCGCGCAGGACCCGTGCGCACGCTCGCGGGCCCCCCTCCCCCCGCCCGGCTCCCCAGCGCTTCTTCCCCGTCCCTTCCCGAGGCTTCGAGAATCGAAACCCAGTCAGCGGAGCCCTTCCCCTTGCAGGGAAACTGCCGTGCGCGGGCAAGTGGAGGCAGTGGTTCACACCAAGGCCAGTTTTACCGCTGAAGTAAAAAGTCTGATTATGAACGGCCTCTGGGCCCCACCATTCGTCCGTAGTGACGGGCCGTGTCGGCGAGGCTTCCGTGTCTGGGAAGTTCCTGCCGCAGCGTGACTTTAGTGGCAGTCGCATTTGGAGGACCCCTTACGACCCACGGGTCTCCTCTTTAGGGAAAAAGGAAAGAGAGGCGTGGCCGGTGGTGGGGGGAAGCGTACGTGAGCCAAATACACAGGGAGCTGCCTGGCCGTCGGCCTTGCGCCCGGGCTCCCCGCGCACCGCCCCCGGGTCTCCGTCCGGGGGGCGGGCGGGGGCGGAGCCCTGTGCGGCCGAGGAGGGCGTGGCGAGCGCGCAGCGCCGGGCCCGGAAGCGCAGAGGGGCCCGGTATAAAAAAAGTACTGAAGACACATCCCCAGCACAGCTGCTAAAGCTCCGGAGCCGAGAGTGTGTGCGGAGGCGGCAGCGGCGGCGGTAGCAGGAGCCGCCACCTCCGGGACCCCCGCAGCTGGGACGCAGCGGTAGCGGCCGGCGCAGGCGGCGCGCCCTGGGAAGGACTCGAGAGCGCGCTCGCCGCTGCTGGGAGTGTTGCCGTCTCGCGGTTCCTCGCTCACTTCGCTTCCAGAAGGGGCGGCCGCCTCCAGGTGACACTGTCGGGACTCCTGCTTTCGCTTCCCAGATGCATCAGAGATACTTTTGGTGCGGGGCTGCTCCGCGGGGCGCGGCGCGTGCGGCTGGGGACGGCGGGGCCTGGGGGGAGCGTCTCCGGGGAGCCCCAAAGACCCGGGACGGGGCGCGCCCCTTGTCCACCGCCGCGCGTCCTCACCGCGCTCCTTCCCCCTTTTTGCTTTTAGGACTGACCAAGGCCAAGTGGCGTTTGGCGGTCACTTCATGACGGAAGGCGAAGCGTACTTTGCCGTGGCTGAGGGCGAGATGGCCGGCTGCTCGTATCCCGCCCTGAGCGGCGGCGACCTCGGCGGCGGCGGCGGCTTCGGCGGGCATTGCTTGGACTATTGCGAAAGCCCCACAGCGCACTGTAACGTGCTGACCTGGGAGCAAGTGCAGCGGCTGGACGGGATCCTGAGCGAAACCATCCCGATCCACGGGCGCGGCAACTTCCCCACGCTGGAGCTGCAGCCGAGCCTGATCGTGAAAGTGGTGCGGCGGCGCCTGGCTGAGAAGCGTATCGGCGTCCGCGACGTGCGCCTCAATGGCTCGGCCGCCAGCCACGTCCTGCACCAGGACAGCGGCCTGGGGTACAAGGACCTGGACCTCATCTTCTGCGCCGACCTGCGCGGAGAAGAGGAGTTTCAGACTGTGAAGGACGTCGTCCTGGACTGCCTGTTGGACTTCTTACCCGAAGGGGTGAATAAGGAGAAGATCACGCCGCTCACGCTCAAGGTAAAGCCGCTGGAGACGGCTGGGTGCGCCCCCGGGCCGGGCCGGGCCGAGCTGCGGCGGGCTGAGGGGCATCGTTTGGTGTTAAAATCTGCAGCCGTTGACGGGTTTGGGAGCGCTTATTTTTCCATTTTTAAATGAGTAAACTTAAGGTGCATGGACGGCGTTGAGTTAAAGTTTTAGTTTACTTAGTGCTTAAGTGCCGCAACTTCTCTCCTGCTTCCTCTCCTGTTCTCGCTTCTCTAACTTCTCCTTATTTTTTAACTCTTGGCTTTCCTGGCTTGAGTCTTGTCTAGAGTAGATTCTGATTAGGTAGAAGAATGAAATGATGCAAATCGTTTCTTTTTTTTTGAGTCATTTTGTGATCTAATCAATGGGGGAAAACAGCCTGAAGCCAAACCGACTCAATGGATTGATCATTGGACTGGAAAATGTGGATAGACTTCTTAGGTGCGTTCAGCTGACTCCATGTTCAAGGAATACGTGTAGTGTTATACATATACATATATAGTGCTTCTCCTGGTTGGTTCATGTGTTAAGGATATGGTGTCCCCCCACCCTCCAACACACAGTTAAGAGCCTGTGTTTTATTCAGTTAGCTAAAATTGTCTGAGGAATCTGCCTCCCAGAATGTCCTAATTTAGTTCCTATTTGATTGTAATTGCAGAGTACCCCTGGGGGGACATATGAGAGATGATCACATCAATTGTTTTACAGGGAAGAGAACTGGTTGACAGTGTGAGAGGCAGACCAACTTTTCACTGTCTGCCCTTGTGTCTGGTGAATATTGTGTGAATATTGTACCTATAAAACCATTAAAAAAATAATATTTCAAAAGCCAGATAATAGAACCTCTCCGTACTGTGCTGCATCTGCCAAAAGCCTCAAACTATTACTTTTAGTTTCTTTCCCAGTAAAAACACTCATTAAATGTATTTTTTTGTTTGTTTTCATAAGGCTGTTTATAAGCTTGTAGGTTGTGCTTTGCTGAAACTTGACAAAACAAAAAGGAAGGAGCAAAATTATTCTCAGCTGTGAAGAGGATATATTTATTATTTTTTCTAGGTTTGCTCATCTTCTTGTTTTATCTTTTAAATTGTAGGAAGCTTATGTGCAGAAAATGGTTAAGGTGTGCAATGACTCTGACCGATGGAGTCTTATATCTCTGTCAAACAACAGTGGCAAAAATGTGGAACTGAAATTTGTGGATTCCCTCCGGAGGCAGTTTGAATTTAGTGTAGATTCTTTTCAAATCAAATTAGACTCTCTTCTCCTCTTTTATGAATGTTCAGAGAACCCAATGACTGAGACATTTCACCCAACAATAATCGGTGAGAGCGTCTATGGAGATTTCCGCGAAGCCTTTGATCACCTTTGTAACAAGATCATTGCCACCAGGAACCCAGAGGAAATCCGAGGGGGAGGCCTGCTTAAGTACTGCAACCTGTTAGTGAGGGGCTTCAGGCCTGCCTCTGATGAGATCAAGACCCTTCAGAGGTATATGTGTTCCAGGTTTTTCATCGACTTCTCAGACATTGGAGAGCAGCAGAGAAAACTGGAGTCCTATTTGCAGAACCACTTCGTGGGATTGGAAGACCGAAAGTACGACTATCTCATGACCCTTCATGGAGTGGTGAATGAGAGTACAGTGTGCCTGATGGGACATGAGAGAAGACAGACTTTAAACCTTATCACAATGCTGGCCATCCGAGTGCTGGCTGACCAAAATGTCATCCCTAACGTGGCTAATGTCACTTGCTATTACCAGCCGGCCCCCTATGTAGCAGATGCCAACTTTAGCAATTATTATATTGCACAGGTCCAGCCAGTGTTCACATGCCAGCAACAGACATACTCCACTTGGTTACCCTGCAATTAAGAATCATTTAACAATATCTTGTGGGGAAGCCATTACAGACAATATAGGGAAAAAAAAGAAAGTCTGAGTGACCCAGCCCTGATTAAGGATGTATTTTGTGCAATGATGATCTGCTCCTGGTTTTAAGCTTGGCAAAGCTTGTGGGTCTTTCCATAGGTATGGGAGCATGATCTCCAAACAACCCTCCACCCAGCGCCCCCACCTGATCCTCCTACCCAATTGGATTCTGTCTGGCAGCAAAAGAGACCTGTCATTAAAAGCAACCAGGCTCTCTTAAAATAACAAGGGAAGAAATGCTTGATGACAATATGGGTTTGCAGTACCTGCTCCCATAGCTTTGCCATGGGGGGAGAAAAGTGGAGATTATTTTAAAAGATGGAATTCACAAAAGGGAAAATACACAGAAAAAAAGGTCTTACCCCAACTTAATTATCAGTTCAGGAGTTCAGACAGTGAAAATACTATAGAAAGAAGAAGAACCCCAACATTGGAACTGATATCTGAGGCTTTAGCAGGTGCTTTCTGTGGAACTATCCTATTGTGATGATAGAAACAGCTTGCTCTGAATGAACAGTAAGTAGTAGGTTGGTGCAATTCTCATAACAGACAGTAGAACTTATGATGACACAATCTATTAATTCCAGCTGTGTGCACAGCTAGCATTTTTAAAATGTGAAAATGCAAGTAGAAACAGCTGTAGCAAAGAAAGTATGCTCAAGGACCAAAGATTTAGCAGATAAAAATATCCTAGTAGAAGAGAGATAGTAAAATATATAAAGAGTTACTATATTTGTTATACACCAATGTACATCAAAGTGCCTGTTGCCTTCTGAAAATTTGAAATGGGAAAGTTTTATGGTTTAATGATCATTTTATTTTATCAGGGACTCAAGGAGAAAATAACGCATAAGCTTGTGAATGGTGGAGGAAATGCCCTACTTTTTCTTGGCAAATATGTGTATAAAGTTAACATTGTTGGTGTGATATTATCATAGGTACATGTGTATGTGTGTATATTATGTGTGTGTATATACATATTTGGATATGTATACATATACACAATACATCAACTATGGTCTAGAATAATGTAGCAAATAGGAAATGTTTAAATACTTCCCCGTCCCTTCCCGAGGCTTCGAGAATCGAAACCCAGTCAGCGGAGCCCTTCCCCTTGCAGGGAAACTGCCGTGCGCGGGCAAGTGGAGGCAGTGGTTCACACCAAGGCCAGTTTTACCGCTGAAGTAAAAAGTCTGATTATGAACGGCCTCTGGGCCCCACCATTCGTCCGTAGTGACGGGCCGTGTCGGCGAGGCTTCCGTGTCTGGGAAGTTCCTGCCGCAGCGTGACTTTAGTGGCAGTCGCATTTGGAGGACCCCTTACGACCCACGGGTCTCCTCTTTAGGGAAAAAGGAAAGAGAGGCGTGGCCGGTGGTGGGGGGAAGCGTACGTGAGCCAAATACACAGGGAGCTGCCTGGCCGTCGGCCTTGCGCCCGGGCTCCCCGCGCACCGCCCCCGGGTCTCCGTCCGGGGGGCGGGCGGGGGCGGAGCCCTGTGCGGCCGAGGAGGGCGTGGCGAGCGCGCAGCGCCGGGCCCGGAAGCGCAGAGGGGCCCGGTATAAAAAAAGTACTGAAGACACATCCCCAGCACAGCTGCTAAAGCTCCGGAGCCGAGAGTGTGTGCGGAGGCGGCAGCGGCGGCGGTAGCAGGAGCCGCCACCTCCGGGACCCCCGCAGCTGGGACGCAGCGGTAGCGGCCGGCGCAGGCGGCGCGCCCTGGGAAGGACTCGAGAGCGCGCTCGCCGCTGCTGGGAGTGTTGCCGTCTCGCGGTTCCTCGCTCACTTCGCTTCCAGAAGGGGCGGCCGCCTCCAGGTGACACTGTCGGGACTCCTGCTTTCGCTTCCCAGATGCATCAGAGATACTTTTGGTGCGGGGCTGCTCCGCGGGGCGCGGCGCGTGCGGCTGGGGACGGCGGGGCCTGGGGGGAGCGTCTCCGGGGAGCCCCAAAGACCCGGGACGGGGCGCGCCCCTTGTCCACCGCCGCGCGTCCTCACCGCGCTCCTTCCCCCTTTTTGCTTTTAGGACTGACCAAGGCCAAGTGGCGTTTGGCGGTCACTTCATGACGGAAGGCGAAGCGTACTTTGCCGTGGCTGAGGGCGAGATGGCCGGCTGCTCGTATCCCGCCCTGAGCGGCGGCGACCTCGGCGGCGGCGGCGGCTTCGGCGGGCATTGCTTGGACTATTGCGAAAGCCCCACAGCGCACTGTAACGTGCTGACCTGGGAGCAAGTGCAGCGGCTGGACGGGATCCTGAGCGAAACCATCCCGATCCACGGGCGCGGCAACTTCCCCACGCTGGAGCTGCAGCCGAGCCTGATCGTGAAAGTGGTGCGGCGGCGCCTGGCTGAGAAGCGTATCGGCGTCCGCGACGTGCGCCTCAATGGCTCGGCCGCCAGCCACGTCCTGCACCAGGACAGCGGCCTGGGGTACAAGGACCTGGACCTCATCTTCTGCGCCGACCTGCGCGGAGAAGAGGAGTTTCAGTCTGTGAAGGACGTCGTCCTGGACTGCCTGTTGGACTTCTTACCCGAAGGGGTGAATAAGGAGAAGATCACGCCGCTCACGCTCAAGGTAAAGCCGCTGGAGACGGCTGGGTGCGCCCCCGGGCCGGGCCGGGCCGAGCTGCGGCGGGCTGAGGGGCATCGTTTGGTGTTAAAATCTGCAGCCGTTGACGGGTTTGGGAGCGCTTATTTTTCCATTTTTAAATGAGTAAACTTAAGGTGCATGGACGGCGTTGAGTTAAAGTTTTAGTTTACTTAGTGCTTAAGTGCCGCAACTTCTCTCCTGCTTCCTCTCCTGTTCTCGCTTCTCTAACTTCTCCTTATTTTTTAACTCTTGGCTTTCCTGGCTTGAGTCTTGTCTAGAGTAGATTCTGATTAGGTAGAAGAATGAAATGATGCAAATCGTTTCTTTTTTTTTGAGTCATTTTGTGATCTAATCAATGGGGGAAAACAGCCTGAAGCCAAACCGACTCAATGGATTGATCATTGGACTGGAAAATGTGGATAGACTTCTTAGGTGCGTTCAGCTGACTCCATGTTCAAGGAATACGTGTAGTGTTATACATATACATATATAGTGCTTCTCCTGGTTGGTTCATGTGTTAAGGATATGGTGTCCCCCCACCCTCCAACACACAGTTAAGAGCCTGTGTTTTATTCAGTTAGCTAAAATTGTCTGAGGAATCTGCCTCCCAGAATGTCCTAATTTAGTTCCTATTTGATTGTAATTGCAGAGTACCCCTGGGGGGACATATGAGAGATGATCACATCAATTGTTTTACAGGGAAGAGAACTGGTTGACAGTGTGAGAGGCAGACCAACTTTTCACTGTCTGCCCTTGTGTCTGGTGAATATTGTGTGAATATTGTACCTATAAAACCATTAAAAAAATAATATTTCAAAAGCCAGATAATAGAACCTCTCCGTACTGTGCTGCATCTGCCAAAAGCCTCAAACTATTACTTTTAGTTTCTTTCCCAGTAAAAACACTCATTAAATGTATTTTTTTGTTTGTTTTCATAAGGCTGTTTATAAGCTTGTAGGTTGTGCTTTGCTGAAACTTGACAAAACAAAAAGGAAGGAGCAAAATTATTCTCAGCTGTGAAGAGGATATATTTATTATTTTTTCTAGGTTTGCTCATCTTCTTGTTTTATCTTTTAAATTGTAGGAAGCTTATGTGCAGAAAATGGTTAAGGTGTGCAATGACTCTGACCGATGGAGTCTTATATCTCTGTCAAACAACAGTGGCAAAAATGTGGAACTGAAATTTGTGGATTCCCTCCGGAGGCAGTTTGAATTTAGTGTAGATTCTTTTCAAATCAAATTAGACTCTCTTCTCCTCTTTTATGAATGTTCAGAGAACCCAATGACTGAGACATTTCACCCAACAATAATCGGTGAGAGCGTCTATGGAGATTTCCGCGAAGCCTTTGATCACCTTTGTAACAAGATCATTGCCACCAGGAACCCAGAGGAAATCCGAGGGGGAGGCCTGCTTAAGTACTGCAACCTGTTAGTGAGGGGCTTCAGGCCTGCCTCTGATGAGATCAAGACCCTTCAGAGGTATATGTGTTCCAGGTTTTTCATCGACTTCTCAGACATTGGAGAGCAGCAGAGAAAACTGGAGTCCTATTTGCAGAACCACTTCGTGGGATTGGAAGACCGAAAGTACGACTATCTCATGACCCTTCATGGAGTGGTGAATGAGAGTACAGTGTGCCTGATGGGACATGAGAGAAGACAGACTTTAAACCTTATCACAATGCTGGCCATCCGAGTGCTGGCTGACCAAAATGTCATCCCTAACGTGGCTAATGTCACTTGCTATTACCAGCCGGCCCCCTATGTAGCAGATGCCAACTTTAGCAATTATTATATTGCACAGGTCCAGCCAGTGTTCACATGCCAGCAACAGACATACTCCACTTGGTTACCCTGCAATTAAGAATCATTTAACAATATCTTGTGGGGAAGCCATTACAGACAATATAGGGAAAAAAAAGAAAGTCTGAGTGACCCAGCCCTGATTAAGGATGTATTTTGTGCAATGATGATCTGCTCCTGGTTTTAAGCTTGGCAAAGCTTGTGGGTCTTTCCATAGGTATGGGAGCATGATCTCCAAACAACCCTCCACCCAGCGCCCCCACCTGATCCTCCTACCCAATTGGATTCTGTCTGGCAGCAAAAGAGACCTGTCATTAAAAGCAACCAGGCTCTCTTAAAATAACAAGGGAAGAAATGCTTGATGACAATATGGGTTTGCAGTACCTGCTCCCATAGCTTTGCCATGGGGGGAGAAAAGTGGAGATTATTTTAAAAGATGGAATTCACAAAAGGGAAAATACACAGAAAAAAAGGTCTTACCCCAACTTAATTATCAGTTCAGGAGTTCAGACAGTGAAAATACTATAGAAAGAAGAAGAACCCCAACATTGGAACTGATATCTGAGGCTTTAGCAGGTGCTTTCTGTGGAACTATCCTATTGTGATGATAGAAACAGCTTGCTCTGAATGAACAGTAAGTAGTAGGTTGGTGCAATTCTCATAACAGACAGTAGAACTTATGATGACACAATCTATTAATTCCAGCTGTGTGCACAGCTAGCATTTTTAAAATGTGAAAATGCAAGTAGAAACAGCTGTAGCAAAGAAAGTATGCTCAAGGACCAAAGATTTAGCAGATAAAAATATCCTAGTAGAAGAGAGATAGTAAAATATATAAAGAGTTACTATATTTGTTATACACCAATGTACATCAAAGTGCCTGTTGCCTTCTGAAAATTTGAAATGGAAAAGTTTTATGGTTTAATGATCATTTTATTTTATCAGGGACTCAAGGAGAAAATAACGCATAAGCTTGTGAATGGTGGAGGAAATGCCCTACTTTTTCTTGGCAAATATGTGTATAAAGTTAACATTGTTGGTGTGATATTATCATAGGTACATGTGTATGTGTGTATATTATGTGTGTGTATATACATATTTGGATATGTATACATATACACAATACATCAACTATGGTCTAGAATAATGTAGCAAATAGGAAATGTTTAAATACTGTGTGCTTTTATGTTTTCAACAGGATGACGTGAGACGTGGGCATATTACAGTGATGAATTAAAACCCACATCTAGAAAAAAGCAAATGAAGGAAGGAAACAAATAATATATTTGATAGGAAGAGCAGAGATTATACATTTTTAGACAGTGGGTTTTTTTTGTTTTCCTTTTTTGTGAGCCGTAGAATTCCACAAATGGGAAGAATATTTGCAGAGTACTCTTTTTTTTAAAAATACTGAACTACCATTCTGACAGTTTGACCTTTTTATTATTTGTAATACTTGCATGCCTTCATGGTGTAAAATCCAGTAAATCATGGCTCAGTGGTAGTCTTTTGAAATCCCTGACTGCTAAAAAGAATTTCTGGTGATCTGAACACTACTTATTAATATTTAAATGAATTTTTTAATGGATGCATTTTGCATTCCAGGACCACTAGAATTTAGTAAATGTGAAATGACCCTTTTTAAAGAAATATTTGCACAA